TGGCTTCGCGCCCGGTTGGGTTGCCGGGCACTACTGAGCCCCCCCACCACGACAAGGTGAACGCACGTTGGGGGGGATGATTACCACCTGCCTTACGGTGATGGTTAAACGACTTAAACATCGTAAGGAGACCTGCATGTCTTAAAGAACATACTAAGTTTTCGTTGGGCATGTAAAGACGTCAATGCACACTTGGTCAAGTGAGATCTGTACCCAGCAATGGGACGTTAAAAAAAGTTCTGAATACATTCGGTCACTGGTTCGATTTTTGAGGGCACCATAGTATTCGATATTTCTTTATTTCTCAATTATCAAAAGATAAGCAGATTAGAGATAACTAGGTTGTAGCTTCTAACGCTCCTCCATTTTAATATGTATTTGTGATTTATGCCCTAACAAGCAATTGTCAATATTTATTTTGTCAATCAAACGAATATTCGGCTATGCATATTTCAAACCAATACTGTACAAATATTTTTATAACTCAAATATATGCCGTTTATAAATAAAATAGAATCAATAATTAATTAAAAATTATTATTTTATATCGGATAACGCCAAACCATAATAATACTCGTAGCATTACATAATAATAAACCTTAATTATGTTATGTCTATTGTCTAATATAGAAACTATATATAATAACATAAAAGGAGGTGGCAAGCAATTAATACGAGTAATTGCGCTTTAGAGAGCGTTTCTGTAAATGCTCTCAATTTTTAAAACCCCACATACGTGTACAAGGTAACTGTTATAAAACTTATAAATGTCAAACTAGAACGATATGGATAAGCCTAAAGGGTAAAACGAAAGAGTGGTCTCGGTGTTGCGACAATAGCTGTCGTGTCATGGCCGCGCCTGGTGAATGTTCACGACCACATGCGTATGTTGAATTAAACATAAAGCTAGTGCGACACTTAGTTTGATCAATTTCGGGCGTTATCTTAACTAGGGCTGCCAACATTAAATTTTACTTTTTTTCAATTCAATTTAATTTTCTTGTTAATGGCTTCAACGCGGGCCATGTCATGTAGAATTCTACTATTCTTAAATACAGTGTTAAGCTGTATTTATTACGCACACTTATAGAAAAAAATATATAAGAATTTACTTCTTTGCTGATATAAATATCTCTTTACTAATTTTATAAATATAAGAATGTAAAAATCAACATGATTTCTTATCTAGAGATAATGAAAAAAGCTGATATTAGCTGTTACAGACAGGGTTACAGGTTTTTTTTCCTAATATCCAATCTTCAATCAATCTTGCTCTTGAATATTATATTAATTTCACTCCCAATGTTCGGTAGAAGGACAATTCGACACGACTGGTGAGAGATCAAGCATAGAACCGACAGATTCACATACTCACCAAACCACATAAGTATTATTATCTCATCAGTTTTGTCATCCCCAACCTCGTGAAAATAACTGTTTTTAGTCCGACCCGGGACTCGAACTAAGGAACTTGGTATCTATAGACGTACAATCTAGCCACGAGAAACTAACAGGTTCTAATGTACCTACATATATGTGATACCCGTAGAATATTAGTTCGTTGGACAGATTCAATGAACTACGCATAAGTTGAAGTTCGGAGCTGCCCAAATCGACTACATTAACCTTTATAATTTATTTATGATTAGTAGGTCACTGATCACACAAGATATCTTTTAGATTTCTGATAAACTAAACTATCTATTAGTTGTTTGCATGAACGAATTAGCCACTTCGTTCATGGTTGTTTGTTATGTTTAGCCGTTTTTTTAACGTCCCACTGCTGAACCTGGGTCTCCCTTCATTACGAGAGGAATCGAGCCGTATTCCACCACGCTGTCCAAGTACGGGTTGGCGGGTGGACATTACATGTCTTTTGAAAACTTGCTAGATTCCCACAGACATGCAGGTTTCCTCACGATATGTTCCTCAACCGTAGGACAAGCGATAATCATGGTACAAATGATTCGCACATGAAAATATTCGAGACTCAGGATTTGAACCAGCTTCACTCGATTTCCCAAGCGAGCGGGTTACCACTGGTCTACCACTGCCTATCTATTAGTTGGACGCACCAAAAAAACTTTAAATTATTACTTTGTTGGTGCTTATTAAGCTCATAGTTTTATTAATCAATATTTTTAAGCTATTAATAGAATACAGAATAAATAAAATATTTTATTACACGACTGACTTTATAAATAACTTATTACTCTAGTTCTTATTAGTTTGATTGGTTTGTAAATTGTTTTATTCATGAATTAAAGGAATTTCGAGTTATTGACAAGTTTAAATTGGTTATGAATTAATATCAGATCGATTAGCGTAAAAACTAAATAACAGGTGATTACCACGCACATTATCGTAAATGTGCGTAATTCCCGCTTTCTTCACTTCTTTGCTTTTCATAATTTCTATCCATTCATATTCTGTAGACGGATATCCGCAGCATTGAAAATGTTCATACCGGAACTTTTTAACGTAAAAAGATAATATATATGGAATAATACTTAATTTAATTATGTATGAAAAGTGGTAGTTTTGATATGTTATACAAAACTTTACAGTACAATAAATCTTAATGATAAAAAAAATCAATTGTGTTAGAATCGAATTATTTAAAAAAATATGTAAATTTTAGACACTTTTACAATATACTTAAATGAAAATATTATTTTATTTTTGTTGAAATTCTCTCGATCTACCTATTGGATTTTTTTTTTGTTTTTAAAGGCTATTATTATATATTGAGGAAGGTCATTTACTATCACACTACGTCTCCAGCGGAGCGATGCTATTAAATATTTAAATATGTAATGACGAAACTTAATATTTGTTAATAAATGAGCTTATGTTGATTAGTGATATAATCTACTAGCGCGAGTCTGGCTCAAAATTAGCTGTTCTGTTGAACATTATTTGTTTTTATTCTCATAATGCTTATACGTCTATGTAAGTATTTTATGCAAATTTATACTTTTGGTGAAAACAAAAATAAATTTTAAACATTTTTAATGTTTTCTTTGAATTTTATTCGCTTATAAAATGCCTGGATGAATACTATAACAGCGTATATTAATTATATAAATTACATTCGTGTGTATGTTCTGGTAGAGAATAAAACTATGATTTTCGTTGTTTTTACTTTCTTTGATTGTTTCTCTGGTAGATACCTACTTTATTTACAGCATTGATCGCGTCGTAGTGTGAAAGTGGAAATATCTTAATATATATAATTCTTCTGTACGTGTGTTTGTTAACCTACTCCTCCTAAACGGCTGGACCGATTTAGTTGAAATTGTGTATGTTTATTTCAATGGGTTCCTAGGTGGTTTGAAAATACAAAGTAGGTGGCGCTGCAGTCGGTGTGCTACTGATCATCTCCTAAACGGCAGGGAGGACTTTAATGATTAATGTTTTTTGTGTATATCCGAGTGGGTCCCTGTAAGGTTTGAATTCATAAATCGATCCAGTAGGTGGCGCTGCAGTCGGTGTGTCTCTAAATTTTCATAAAAAACTCTTTGACTCTCTTTCTCTCTTTCTCTGACTCATAAAATGTTTACGTAACATAAGTAATATTAGTATTTACCAAATTTTGATAATAAATAATGAATTAATCTGTAAATTTTATACAAGTTATAATAATAATAAAATCTATATTATGTCGAATCAAGGACTTACATACACGGGTGAAAAGGACATAGCCTACTTTTTGTTCCGAATATGGAGAGTCCCGCGCCACAAAGAATAAAAGTTTTATATTTATATGTATATTTTTATATTTTATTTTATTAAGTTCATTTTGGACACGAAATGAAGTGAGAATTGAGAAGTGATTTTGATTTGATAATATCAATATGTGAATCATTATAGGATCACTTCGTAATCCGCCTGTCTGTCTGCCTGTATTTCTGTCAAGACCTTTTTTCTGAGAAAAAGAACCCATAGAGGTATCAAGTTGAAATTAATATGAAATACTCAGGTTTCCAATCCCTAGGATTTGTGAAAAAAATCAATCATCTAAATCAACGCAATCAAAAGATACGACTGTTCACGTCGCTTATACGCTTATTTTAAGGTTTCATGCTACGGAACCCTTAGTGTGCGATTCAGACTCACGTTTGACCGTTTTTTTTAATAGAACAACAAGGTTAAAATGAGAATATTTAGGAAGGTTTGAATTATATTATAATGTCTTTATTTACCAGGGTCTATATTTGAGAAATAATTATACTACGAATTTTGGACAGATTTGAAAGAAACTCAATCCTCAAACCTTAAGGGTTGCCCCAACTATATTTCAAGATAAAGTCACTTTTAAAGCCTTATAATGTTTCTTGGTGTAATTTTATATTTAAAAAGAAAACATAAATCTTACATCCGTTTAAAAATATAAAAACCACATCATTAGCATATTATACTGGAAAATAGTTTGAACGTCCTTGTGAGGTAATACATAGCCTACACACCCGTTCGCTCCAGTTTCATTACTTTCACTATCATTGTGAGATCGGTTGCGCAAGCGCCTTTAACTGATATCGACCCGTCAAAAATAATTACATTGCAATACAATATTTAAACTATTAATTTTTATTTTCCTTTGAGAAGCTCATTAAGATACATTTATTTTTAACTTATAAAATTAAAAATTCATAATAATGCTCGAATAATTACAAATAAAACCTTTAATGGTCGAAATTTTTATAGATCAATTAAAAATGTTATAGTATTTAAAGAGAAAGTAAAATCTATAAATATATAAATAAAAACCGTTAATTAATATTTTTTTAATAAATATAAAAGTCTTGAACCATTGTTTAAAATAAATTAAATAATGAACAAGATTATTTGAAAAGATAATTTATATAACATATTACAGTACTTTAAAAAGACAGGCTAGTTAATAAGCACAGCTTAGGCAAATAGCTGTCGCATTAAATATTAATTTATTAAAAATAAAAGTCTTTTAACACTTATTCTAGTTTGTATGTAACAACTTAAATGTCAAATATATCTAAAATATTTATGCCAGGTTTTTTCTTTTTAATAATTTTTCGTACGACTTCCTTGTGAGCAGGCGTTCGGGGAGGTCTACGGTATCGGTCATCTTCATAACTCTCATCAACTTCATCCTCTGTTTCTGGTTCATATTCGGGTTCTGCAACTCGCGGACGATTTTTGTGTTTCCTTTTAGGAACTAAAATATAATCATCTAGTTCCTCATTAGTGTATTGTTCTTGAGGTTTTACAGGCTTATACTTTTTTTTAGGTCGAGGAGGTGTGTAATCATTATAAGTATTATCGACCTGAGGAGACTCTAGTATACCAGAATAACTATGTTTTGTTGATGGCCAATCATATTCTTCTGGTTTTGGTGGTGTATATTCATCATTATGCTTATACTTGTGAATTAACTTTTCCATATTAGACGCGTCACTCACATATTTATCGTAACCACTATCGTAAGTATCAGATGTTAGAGATGGATATTTTTGCCTTCGGAAGTCTAAGTTTCCACTATTGTACAAATTATTTTTTATTTTCTTGTATCTTGTTTTACAATTTGGATCAAACTTAAATCCGACATGACTTTGAGCGCTTGCTTCGGGTTCTAGTTCGTCCCGAGGATGATTTATAGTAAAACTATGAGTGTACTCACTAGGTTCTGAGTCAGAAGGGTATTTTGGTCGTTTCATTAATGAATAATCTTTGAATAATTTGTCGTATGGATTTCGATTTCGTTTTTTTTCATTAGTTTTAAAAGAAGTTTCTATATCTTCATCCTCTGAAAAATCATAATATCTATCATAGTCTCTTAGTGCTTTGTCTTCCATTTTGCCATCTTCAGCCGTTGCTTCCATCGGAAAATCTTCATTATTAACAACTGCAGTAAAACCAGATTTTGGTCCAGCAGAATATTCTACAGTCCTCATCGACCCATCTGGCTCAATTACGCTGTAATGACCTTTAAATAACATATAGCAAAATGTTAACATTTTATTTATTAGTCCATATATAGAAATAAATTATATAATTAAATTAAATTTTAAATAACTTTTAGCGTTTTTTTTTTGTTTTATATATGCAAGAAATTCTATTATTACTACTAAAACTATGTCATTATGGTATTGTTGAAAAACATAAGAATTAAAAATATGATTTAATATCAACATTCTAACCTTTCACAGTGTCACCTTCTTTGGCTTCCCAAACAGTTTTTACATCTCCAGTTCGTGTATCAGCAACGCCATAACCAAAGGAATAGACCGGAGCTTCCTTAAACATGAAATAAGTATCAGTAACTTTCAACAATGATTAAGTATAAAACAGTATAATTGTCTCCTAATTACATTGGAAGAACAGAAAAACGGTAAGGAATGTGTGAAGTGATACGTTGCGTGAGTTGACTTCGTAAGTTACTTATTATGACAATTCATTGCATGTTTGCTGATTATACTTTTATATTCTGAATAATCAATGAGTTTTTTAATAGTTTCCATAAAATTGGAATGCATCTTGTGTAATCAAGTTGAAAAGACGTGAGAGTAAATATGTCATTTCGTATATATCTAGTAGCAAAACACTTTCCACGCTTTCCTTCACGATACGCTTCTTGAATACATTCTTAGTTTTTTTTGTAAGCAACTAAATTTTATGAGGCTCTTTATTGTTCGCATGACATTGATGAATTAAACTTTCATTATAATCAATTGATTATTAAGTGTGTATAAAAGTGTAAAGATATTATAATGTTATTTATATTATTATAGATAATAAGCGATATATGCGAAGTAAATGAAAAATCTTCATAAAAACATAAATAGAAGCCAACTTTTATCTGAATTTCTTGATATTAATCAAAGCAAATATTTATATAAATGGATTTTTGTAGTATTATCATAATTTTCTTCGGTCAATGCTCTCAAACAGGTTAATGTTTATAAACAGATGTCGCTAAATGTCACTCGCCTGCGGCCATCTTCTCAAGTTCAAGATGAGCGAACGTGCGCCGGCGCATCGCTCTCAATGTCAATGACAGATCGTTCACTCTTGTTTGATTACTTTTAAATAATTATTCTAACTTTTACTCTTAATACAATACTAAAAACAATGAAATATATACACATTTTATATGTATGTATGTATAATAGCTATTAAGTGAATGTTTCAATTTAAAAAATGCATTCGCCCATTTAGTAGTTATGTCACTATAATTTTAGTACAATGTTAAAAGAAAGAAGGATATATAAGTGGCACAATTCTTACCAACATAAAACAGGTTATAGGGAAAAGTGGGTGAGCGATATTAAAACTGGTACATTATATTACAACATCGACTCACTTTCAATATTTGCGTACTCTGCGACATAACATAACGAGTATTTCGTAAATTAGTGCTCTTACTCAAATGGTATCGAAATTACTAAAAGTCGGTGGAAAATTAATTAAATTTAAAATAAATATTAAAATAATAACATTTAATAGCTTTACAGTTTTAGATTTCAGGACTCCTTTTATCTAAAACCTAACTAAAGCTGATATAAAATTAAAAAAAAAATTGAATTATAAAATATACTCGGTTTATTCATTTTAAAGAACACACTTATATTTTAATGTGGTTTGAAAAAAGCTGCTTGCTACTATGGCTTTATATTTATATATTATATATAAATATATACAATGTGACTTATTTTCTTAGATTATATGATGTAAAAAAATTATAAATACGTACTTCATTAGGTTGGTGCTGTTGTACCCCTATGGACTCGTCCATAAATTGATTTTGACAAATCGCAAGAAATATTTTTCCTAAAAAAACCTAAGAAATATTTTACAAGTATGCATTAATTAATTAAATTAAATTAGTTTTTAATACTTTATAATGTAAGTATAACTCTTTAAGTTTTTATAATACTAATCTTCAGACCTAAAACACGTTTACCTTTAATTTTCTAAAATCTATGTTATTTATAAATGTATGTACATATATACATACATACATGTATACATATATAGTAAATACTATGTACGTATACATATTACATAGGTAATTTTAAATGAGATTTAGTTACAGTGTAGCAAATAGTTATTAAATTAACTTTATATTCAATTTTTTTAAATTAAAAAATATTATTTAACGAAATTGTGTATTATTCAAAATTTAGTATAATATTAAAATATACTTACCCATAACGTTAGTAACTTAGCCATAGTCCACTACGAGTTTATTACCACTATATATTTTACGCCATGCACTATCTACTAGATTATTTTTTTTATTATTATTTATTACTAAATAGCATACACCTGTCCATATCCAAGGTTGAGGCTACGCGAAGACGGCAAGCGACGTACATCACTTACCTATTTATAAACGCACACTGTCCTACCTGCATTATGCGTATATATACACACTAACATACACTTTGATAATTACTGTCACGTGAATAGTACGCCATCTTTAATTACTTTATTGTCCATAGGCATATGGTTTAACCACCACCCCACTCCGGATAGAAAATACAATGAATTTCCTTAACTACAAGACCACATAGCCTTTTAATATAGTTCCAGGATAATAACTTTTGTATAACTAAAGAACTAATCTATACATATAGTATATGTAAAATTGTAACCCAGCCGAATCTGTTCATTAAATATTTTTTGGAAAATCTTATTGAAATATACATTATTATCGATACAGAGGCCGAATCTATAGTTTTTAGATTTTTTGTCTGTCTGTCTGTTTGTTACCATCACGTATAAACCACTGGAGGGATTTTGATGAAATTTGGTATGATGATAGTTGGCTATCTGGGTCAACATATAGGATACTTTTTACCGCGAGAAAATATCTCATTCCTGAGAAATCTATACTAAACGTTAAAACTTAACTAGGGACGAACCCGAGCGGAGCGAGGGTGACTCGCTAGTTATCTATATATTACATGTTCCGACATTGTCACCCAGATCAAACCACTGGATACCCTAGACCTGAAGAATAAAAAATTTGACAATAAATTCTTATAGTAAAAAATAAAATGTGCATTCATCTGCTAAGACGTAATATAGTACTCTATCACAATTTACATACATTTATATTTTATTACGTATTTCGACTTCTCAAAATCCAGCCCCATAGTGAGCTAATATTGGTAAGTTTTAATTAGCCAAATAAAACCGAAGCAGACCACTAGTTTCAATATATTTTTATTTTCATTTTTTAAAGTTAGTACATAGAGAACTCGTCTATCGTTCCTTGTTTTTAAGAAAATTTAAAGTGATTCAATGAGTAGCGCTATTTAATCCCGTTTTGTCTTCATAATCAATATACGAGCACAAAGATTTTAGCTTCAACAAAACAGTCCGCGTTACAGTATTATCTCGCCTTTCCTACTAATGAAATATATTAAGAATTCTTATCTATGAAGGTTCTGGAAACACACAACATATTTTTAATACATTTTTATTCGCTTCACTTATAACTATGTATGTAAACAAATATTGGAGATGAATTTTACCAACTTTTAACATTACAAATGTATGTAATACCAATGATATTGGTTTTATTGAGTTGATTTGATCTGAACTATTCAAATAACTAAGAAACTATTCAAAGGTAGGTATCTAATATATTCTTTAAATTTACTAGTTAATACCATTTTTAAAGGGTTAAACACTGCATACTCAGTGATGATGATTCTAATGATGCAACTGTGCAGTTGGTAGAGACGCTACACACTGACTACTAATTAACCCCTCAAGTTTAGAAATTTGATTTGTTTTGACGAATTATAACACGCGGATTATGGCTTTTTAAAACTATAATTATTAAATACTAGCAAATTATTCTCGCTTCGCTCGAGTGCTTAACAATAGCCAAGAACGTAACTCAACAGCCTTTTTTCCGAGTTAAATTAAAATTATTATGATTACTGACAGCAAATACATTTTTATTGGAATAAAAAATGCCTATAGCACTCGATGGTAATATAGCTTCCTATTAGTAAAAGATTTTCAGAAGTCGATTAGTAGTTTTAAGTATTATCCACTACATACAAACTTACAAAATTTATCTTTTTTTATATACATTATTATATTAGTATTGCGTAGTTGGAATATTAAATTAGTGTAATGTTACTGTTTTAATATTTTAACTCGTTTCCTTTAAAATTTAGAAGTTAATGAATAGGTTATCATAATAATCATCAAAATATTATTTTAAATATTAATTATCTATGTAGTTATGTATGTTTGTATCAATGTATATATCAATAAACGTCTATATATGTATATATTTGTTTGTTTGTCTCTTTATGTATTCGTTTGTAGATCTCCTTGTTTGCATCCCTTCCTTCTGTATTTCTTTTTCTCTACCCAAAGGTTGCCTAGAATTGATCGCTCTCTAGTGATAAGGCTTATATAGATTGTACTATTTCTCTTGATTCTATTTTAACTATGTAATGTAAAATAATAGTGTGCAATAAAGAATATTTGATTGAAAGTGTTATGTGCGAATTTAATATTAGTTTAGTTTGACTCTAGTATTACCTGATATTAGTTCAATATTCTATCGCTAGAAAAAAGTACATTATATTCCTTACATTGAAGTATCTAATCATATTTTTTGTCTATTTAATATTTCTCAAGCAAAACCTTGATTATTTATATTTAATAATCGATTTTAATACAATTGATGTTGATATTTCAGAAACTCAACTGAGCATGCAAATCAACGAAAGTGAATGCGTTAGATGTAATAATTGCGTGTGCGCAGTAGTACAGTTAGTGCATACCGTTCTAAATTGCCATATTTATGTCTAACTGTCGTACTGCTTGTATTTTATTCTTGAATTGCTTAATTTTATAGCTCCATAATTTAATATGAATTTATTGCCTATATCTCTAATCATATCTTCATTAAACACTGTGCATCTTGTATATGTATAAGTTAAAGCTAGTTTTCAGTGTTTTATTTACCTATAAAAATCGATACGAACATAAAACAGCAAAAAACATAATTTACATAGTGCATACCCCACTAAATTTATTTATTTTATTTTTTTGAAATAAATGAATATCACACCCGCTTTCCATGTTTTATAAGAAGAAATTACTGGGGAAAGAGAAACAGAACTCTGAAATTTGTCAGACAGATAGGTAGACGAAGTTTTTTTTATAAATAATTTATTTTAATAAGTAACATTTTTATTTCTTAGTGAACTAGAAACTATATTTCATGTAACAGCATCAAATTATTTTAAAGAAATAATAAGTTTGACTAGTTTCATTTCATAAATGGGCGAACTAAATCATTATTTCTTCATAATTTTTAATTTGTATCCAAAGTAAAGCTAAGTCACATTACTTAAGTGTAGTGTGTGTGCTGTTACTTTATCGCTATATACACATAATGTATTTAGTGCTAAAGTAATTGCTGTGAGTATTAAATTAATAGAGTTTTCATATTTATTAACTTCCATAAACGACCAATTCATTATGTTTCATGCTCGAGCTCTTTATATAACGATGATAAATTAAGCCAGGAAGACTTGAATATTAAAATTTCCTCATTCATTACCTTTTTAAAAATCATTCTAAAATTATGTAAGTAAAATTTGAATTTTGAATATTATATTGCAATGTTGACTTGTAAAAGTGAATAAATGTACGAGTAAATACATTTTTTATAAAAGGCTTTTATTTAAAAATAATTAGCTGAGTATTTAAGTTTATATGGTCACCTTCTGACTCTATTATTAAATCAAAGTTATGTAAACAATATGATTATACTGTCATCAAAAATATTGAAAAGGAAATAGGAAACTCAAAGAGATATACATACAAGCACGTTAACGAAAAACTTGAAATAACAGGCTTATAACGACATCTCTTAGCCGTCTTAACAATAAATTAGCGCCATCTACTTGATTACAAGTATACTTCTCTATTACAAATACATAAAAAGCATATTGTGTAGTAAATTAATGAATATAAAGCAAACATCAAAGATCATGAGAAAAACAAAACAACAAATGAAGAAAAAAGCTTTATTTAACTTTTAACTAAAATAATAAATTAATATTTATACAATAAACGTACAAAACAATGTAGTAAAATTTTATTGTAGACTATTTTATATTTTTATTTCCGCAATATCACAGATACTTATTGCCTTTTGATTTATCTTTTTGGTCAAAGTTGTTAGATTATGTTATTAGATGTTACAACGGCATCTAGTGGTAGCCATAGTAACCAGGACTGTTATATATCTTTTTGTAAACTTGAGGATGATAAGCGTGGCCTATTCGCTTGACAACTGCATTGAAACCATTGTGTTTGTCAGCCGTATACTCCACTATGCGAGTGGTACCATCGGGTTCAGCGAGTGAGTAAGCACCTAAACAAAAGATTTAAAAAAAAACTTATTATTCTGACCAAATTTGATTCCCACTAACATAATATACTGTATAAAATAAAAAAATACTAATCTAAAAACGAATCTCGATGTCTTCAGCCACCAACCAATTATACAGCTTGTTTTGTGAATAAACTAATAATATATATATGCTCTTTGTGTTTACACCCCAAAAAAGTAGTATGCATTTCGAAATATGGCAAAAATTAGAACCTACCATATTTAAACTCTACTATGCCTTCTCCCAAGTCTTTTATTGTTGATTGTTTATTTTTTTTACTTTATTTTTTAATAACATTAAGATATTAATTCTGTTTTACCTTTAACGACATCACCATCACGAGTTTCCCATTGGGTTTTGTGATCACCAGTGTGGGGGTCTTTTACTGAATAATCATATGCATATTTAGGATACGCCTGAAATATAATAAAAGCAATGTTATTTTCTTACTTTGTTGCTAATATGCAATCGTATTGTCTAAAAAAAATCTAAAAGAAATATTTTCTTCAAAGAAATATTTATTACAGATTTCCGAAAAAAAAATTATAATTTTTGATAATACATTTTATTTTAAAATTAACTTTTGAAACCCATGTCACATGGACACAATTGCTTCACCGTACAAAAGACATCAACGGGGTCGATTTTTAAAAATAATTATCTTATATTATTTTCTTGCAGTTTTCAAAACTATAATTAAACTAAATAAAAACTTAGACCTTTATATATTGTGTATATGTAAAATAAAACAAAAATACATTTTAAAGCTATTATGATAAAATGTGACCATGTAGCATTTTCATTTGTGCAATATCCGAAGGAATTAATACTCCGTAGACAACAATGAAAATGACATGTTCGTGCATGTCGCAAACTGACGTCACGGTAAGTAAGCCCGAATCATAGTTTAGATTTGAATAGTTGCATGTACTTAATACTTTAATTGTGATACGATTATTACGTAAGGATTTAATATAGAGAATAAACTTCTTGACATATTTTCATGCAGACTTTTAATACAATATAATTAAAAATAAAGTTTTGGAACTTATTGAATAGTTATTAGACAGCTCGCATAGTTTTTAAGCTATTCATTATTGATGTTCTCCTGACCGATTCCGCCCACGGCAGGCAATCTCATTGAGACTAGCCAACTGCGCAGGAGATATTATAGTGCACAAGTGTACGCGCAGACACAAGTGCACTCTCTATTCCTGTCACTTTCATACTCTAGTAGGACGACCACTCGACACGACCAGTGAGAGTTAAGGCGCAGGACCGACGGCTTTACGTGCTCTCCGAGGCACGGGGATGAAACACCGCCAACTTCCCAACTCCGGGCTGTTACTGAGGCTTACTATACAGAAAGACTCAATAACTAAACTTGGCCCGACCCGGGACTCGAACCCAGGACCTCCGGGTGTGCAGCCGTACATGCTAGCCACTACACCACCGAGGCAGTTCATTCATTATTATAAGCTTAACTTTACTACTATAAAACTAAATAATCTCCGTGCATATAGCTCATGCATAATTTCTCATTTTTTGTTTTCTAAATTTGAGAAGATAGGTGGGTATATGTCAAAAATCTGAATCTAGGTAGTTCTTAACTAAGTTTGACTTAACTTAAAATATTTGACTTATTAGTTATTAATTAATTATTTACTTACATAGTATGATTCTTGACCACCCTTATAGCCGTTGTACCCATCATATCCATAGCTTGTATAACTAGGATAACTGCTGTACCCAGTGTAGCCGCCGTAGTTAGCGTAACCAATATACCCTGCTTTGACTGCAGCGCACATAGCTACTAACAAGCAAACCTGAAATTAAATAATACAGTACACTAAGACAGAGTACGCTATGAGTTTATGATTTAAATTAAGAAATATACATAATGCCGTTTTTTATATTTAAAAAAAAATAGAACTTATACAATGAAAAAAAGCTATATTTATATTTGTATTAAAATTATAAGTAGTCCAAGCTGAAGATTTGTAATAATACACTTTCTGGTTCTCAATTCGAACATCTAATGCTTTTCTGTATTATTTTCCTATTTAAATGATTATTGGGTAGTTGGATGGTTCCAAGAAATTGTATGGATAGAATAATGACTTTAAGGTGCTATTGAAATTTCTACTAATATTATAAAAGCTAAAGTTTGTGAGGATACATGGATGTCTGTATGTATGGATGTATAGATGTATGGATATTTGTTACTCTTTCACACAAAACCCATTAAATGGATTTTAATGAAACTTTACAATAATATAGCTCATACATCAGAATAACACATAGGCTACTTTTATCTTGGAAAAATTTACGGACCCTGTGGGATAGATTTGTTTTTGTTTCTTTAGAAACGAACCCGAGCGAAACGAAGGTGAGCCGCAAGTAATGTATATTTTCTTAAAGTAATAGTGAAATGAAATAATTGTTTTAGAAGTTTAATTTTTACGTAGGAAAACGTATTTAAAATTTTATTTGAAGATAATGAATGCACAAGATATCAAAAACAATATGGAATTTCGTGTAACCTTAGCTTGTTTTTCTAATATTGATTGTATTAGAAGAAAATGGTAAGCTGTTACTACGACCAAGTTGTGTGATAGTAAAGATTCATCTTTTAAGCTTTAATTTTAAATATCGATAATCGGTCTACTATTATAATTGCGCAAGTTTATACTTTTACATATATATGTATGTTGGTTGCTCCTTCTCTCTAAAACGGCTTAGAAGGTTTGGATAAAATTTAATATAGATGTGCTACTGTTAAGCGCTTAGGGTAAGTTGCTAGTAAATATTTATAGGAATTAAAACACATGAGCCGCAAGCAAAATCTTAAAAAAAGAAGCATAAATCTTAAAGCAAGGTCATACGTGATACGATGATTCACTATGAGAGACGCATAACAATGGATGTACCGAATGATTTAACAACTAATATCCATAACATTATTTAACAGTAACAATAGGTAAAAAACAAACTCAGGAAGTATTATACTAATATATGATAAATTGTATAATTTCCGCTTGTACCTACACGCATCAATAATAGCGATTAGTTACGCATTACATACAATGTAAATTCTTATCAATGATGGTAACATGAAATTTGTTACGAGAGTTTAAGTGTACTTATTGAATAGGACCTACAACGAAGATATTTTCATGAAAATGTGTACATAGATTAACTTAATTAAATATATATTTAGAATTTTATACACACAGTCTACTAGGAAATTTAAACTACAACTTTTCTAAACAAATTATTCATGTTAAGTCACTTAGGACTTATTTAGTCGGTCTTTATTAGCCGACTTCCAAAAAGGAGGAGGTTCTCAATTCCTCGAAATTTTTGTTTTTTCAATATTTACTTTCATATACTTAAATTTGTTTAATACTTGCTTATTGCTTATCTTCATTATGTGATACAAAAATCTAGATTCAGCGTTTTAGGCTTTATGTAGTCTTTCAGTGAGTACTTACTCAAAATGAATTTAAGATTCTTATAATTTTTAATACTTGTAGATTGTATTGTTCAAAGCATGGCTGAGATTGGGCGTTCGGTGGAGGCAAATGAATTTACTATATTTTATACATGATGTAATAAATTTTATTTAAATTGAACCCACCTATCACATGTTTCTAATTAACAAATATTATATGAATAATATACCTATAACAACTGTAATGTGTGCTGTTTTGCACTATACATAATTGGTCTAGGCCTTTAATTTATTATTCTATCATCATAGCGAGAAATGAGTAAGTCTATGCCTTAAATTTTAAGTAAATATATGTTGATATGATTCAATCAATTTAATATTACGATTATAAGTATGAAAGTTGACAAAAATATATGGATTTTTATTTATTACTTACTAAATCACGCATATATTTTATGCGATAATGATTTAGATTAATCTTAGCACACAAATAGACAATCTCGTGGTTTCCATGTGGTTATGAACATTTTTTATTCCGGTAACTTTCTGGACTTATCAATGCTATCTGTATTACCCGAAAACGGCGTTCTAACTAAGAACTGAAATAAAAGGCTGTGGATCCTGGTATTTAATCGTTGTTGTTTATAAAGTAAATACTGGCGTTTATAGTCAGCTGCTTTTCATTTAAGTTCTACGTTAGAAGTATCAGGTAGAGTCCCTAACAAGTGAGAAAACACTGTAACGTAGACAAAACAATAGAATAACCAAAGTGAAAGATTTTTCAATATCTCATTTAAAAAATCCTGTTCATCTAAAAAAGAATATGCAATATAATATATTTGCATTATGTTTTTGTATAAGTGACATTAAATTCTATGAAATTATCCACTTACAACTACCACTACTTTGAATTGTATTTCAAATAACTGAGTACCTACATAAAGTGTGTAGTTGTGGGCTAAGTTAATTAAAATATACATTATTGGTAATAATAATTACCTAGTTTGTACCTAATTAGTATATAAAATATTATATGTCTAAGAATTACTTTTTCTAAATGACTTTGTTTTGGTTATTCGATTGTGATTATCTGAAAGAAATTCGATATAAACTATATAGTATTATTTAAATCGTCTATTTAAACAAATAGGATAAACTTACTTGGAGCCCACGCATTTTTCACTTATTCTTCTTCAACACAACAATAACACTGGTATGATCGCACAATAGCCCAGTATTTATATAAGACCCGGGTTGCACCACTTTGGCCCATGCGCGTGTTTTAAACAATACCTTAAGGAATTGGTAATTAGAGGACTACGATTAGCGTTGATTTTCGGACTAAAAAAAACCTTTCTTATATGTATGACCGGTTTGAACTTCCAAAATTTTAGGTCAAAATAAAAAAAATCATCTATACAAATAAATAAAATTAAAGTGTCTGTTTGTAATATCAAAATAACAGCTTTTTACTAAATGCATATGGATGTATACACGGTACATATACCAAAACAACATTTTTTTTTAAATTCTGTCTGTTTGTTTCGGCTAATCTCTGAAATGGCTGGACCGATTTTGACGAGACTTTCACCGGCAGATATCTGATGTAATAAGGAGTAACTTAAGCTACTTTTATTTTAGAAAAAAAATAGGGTCCCACGAAAAAAATTAAAACCAATGAAAAATTGAATAATATCCGATTCAAGTAGGAAAGTTGTATACCTAGGGACGAACCCGAGCGAAGCGAGGGTGAGTCGCTAGTTTAGTATAAAAATCATCAATCAAAATGGCGAACTCAATATTAATTATTGATTTTTAAAAGACCTGTAGTAAACACTTTTGTTTTTTTTTAAGATTTTCATTCTTTAAGATACGATGACACTAGCAACTCCTAAAATGATAAAAGTTTCTTAGTGAAAACTAAAAATAAAAAGATCTGGCAAAAGGATTCGTTATTTGAGTCATTCGTAACTCTATGTGCTTTTAGTTAAGATGATGAGATCTTTCAATATCACGATTTAACTATGAAAATTGTGTTTTTCAAATAATTATGAATTCTACCTTGAATTTCACTTGAATATCACACACACACACACACACACACACACACACACACACACACACACACACAGACACACACACACATATATATATATATATATATATATATATATATATATATATACACTTCTATATTTAGACTTCTACATATTATTCATGTAAAACCTATTACATATAGATATAAAATATAGAACATAGAAACATTAATGATAATTAATATCTGAAAAAACATCTAACATCAGTAATAATTATGTTATTAATGCAGAAAATTGGCAAATCAAATTAACAATGTTAATAGATACAATTAATTTGGTATAAATAAATTATATTCGGTAAACAATGTAACTTTGTGGCGACTAGTATTATTTGAGACTTTTCTTGTAATTTTTTTAAAAACCGACTTCGAAAAAGGAGAAGGTTCTCAATTCATCTGAATCTTTTTTTTATTTATGTTCATCGATTACATTCATCATTATTAGATGCCTACAGATTACATACATCATTAGATGCCTAGACCGATGTGGATTTTTTTTGTCTCAAATGGTATACTTCCCAGGTGGTCCCATATAAATTTTATCGAAATCGGTCCAGCGGTTTTTTAAAAAATCAACAATATTTTTTTATACATAAAAACTTTCTTCTTACAAATTACCTGCTTATTAGGTTTACACTAAAAATTGAAAAATAACTAAAAAAAACCGACTTCCAGACACTAAAATGTAAAAATTACTAAACGGGGGTTTTCATTTAGACTACATTAAGATATCTAATCAGATATTTTCGAAGTTGGTGCCAGCTGGCAATATATTAAGATATGAATATCTAATAAGTAAATTTATGTATTTTACGTATCGAAATATGTATGTTAGATTTTCTCTGCATTGGTTGGCACCGCCTTCAAATATATATATATGTTGACCCAAATAACCAGCTATCATCATACCAAGTCGCTCAGCGTGCTATGGAGAGGGTTATGCTCGGAGTTTCTCTTAGGGATCAGATTCGAAATGAAGAGATCCGACAGAGAACCAGAGTTATCGATATAGCCCAAAGAATTAGCAAGCTGAAGTGCCAGTGGGCTGGTCACATATGTCGCAGAACCGATGACCAGTGGAGTAGACGGGTTCTAGAGTGGAGACCACGGCTCGGCAAACGTAGTGTAGGACGCCCTCCAGCTAGGTGGAGCGACGACATACGTAAACTGGCTGGCAACGGTTGGATGCGTAGAGCTGAAGATCGAGCTCAGTGGCGTGCCATAGGAGAGGCCTATGTCCAGCAGTGGACGAAAGCAGGCTGAATATGATGATGATGATTATACCAAATTTCAGTAAAATCTGTCCAATGGTTTTCTCGTGATGCGTTCCCAGACAGACAGATAGACAGACACAAAAATTCGGCCTCTGTATCGATAATAATGACTATTTCAAAAAGATTTTTCAAAAAATATTTAATGTACAGATTCGACTCAGAATTTTATTATATGTATAGATGTATATAGAAAGTTAAACTTTAATTTTCGAATTTTTAATATCGAAAATTACAAGCTTATTTCCTATTTTATGTGCCAGTGTTAAAGGAATAATTTTAGAAAATACTACTTATAGGAAAAATTGATGCTTTTAAACCTATACGTTATCTTTCAATGAGATTGAATAATTTTAAGATTTTTATTAAGTAAGAATTTTGTTGAAGGTTTTAAAATAAATTATGGTTTTTTCAACTTATTCAATATATAGAAAACATGTAAGTAACGTAATACGTTTGGGCTAAATTTATTAGGTAAAAACGCTGCACGACTCATTACCTGCAAATATCGATCGGATATTTGTATTGTGAAACTCCAAATTGAGATTCACAAAAACATGGTAGGTACGTGAAAATCGGCCAAGGGAAAACAATAATTACGATAAACACGTTTAGTAAATCGTCAAGGTTCATTTAAACTAGAGATACATTGACCACAACTTTTTGCATATAAAAGCTGATAACTGTTACACTAAATATTTTATTCTAAGTTATCGAGAAAGTTACGATATTATAAGCTACTATACTACTACTATTATATATATATATATATATATATATAAAATTGTTTGTTTACTCATAATATGAAGACACTTGAAAAGGCTAGATTAAATACTATATTAGTTAAAAAATTACATTCGTCAAGATTAAATAAGAGTAATTAATTATAATTTAAAAGTTAATTAAAGAACTCTACATATAAATTTAAGTGTCAAAATGGAGACAGTAATCAATAAATAAAATATTGTAAGAAATTGATAAATTTAAATTTTGTTATCTATGCATATTTATTTATCTATACTATAATAAAGCAGTAACTTAGCGAAATCTGTATATAAAATATTTTCTAAAAAAACAATGACTGTAACGTATTGTGTACAAAATATAGACCCCAATACAATAGTTACTAAAATATACCTTTTACTACAGGAAAATCTTTGATTTCCAGGGGAAAACACAATAACTGGTTCGACTCATCCTTAAAAATTTACACGGCTAACGCTAGCTAAACATGTAGGTTTAACAAGGTTTAAATTAAACGGCCTATATAAAAATCCGCAATATCAAGCATGAGTTTATCTCCGCAAACTCGAAGCGAGGTTGTCGTTAGTCTATACTAATTTTATAAAGAGGTAAAGTTTGTGAGTATGTGGTGTTATAGGAGGTAATCTCTGGATCTACTGAACCGATTTAGATATAATTTGGTAAGAAGATAGTTTGAGACCCTGGGAAGGACATAGGACTTTTTATCCCGGAAATAATCCCTTAAGAGGGTGAAAATGGGAATGAAACTTTGTATTGGGAAGCAAACTAGGGACGAACCCGAGCGAGGCGAGGGTGAGTCGCTAGTAATAAATAAATTGGCATATAATTGAAATTGCATCTATATCGATAGAATAGATTTTTTAACATCGACTTTAACACCGAAGCAAAATTTACTTGACACTACGTATTCATTACTAAGTTCAATAATTCCTATTTAATTATGTATTACTGGTATTATAGCATCGTGTTAAAGGCTACTCTAGAGAGTTCAATTCACACTATGAATGAAACATGTCGTAAACAAATATCACTCTGTAATACCCTTGCTTCAAATTACGTGTCTATGTAGAGCACAATGAATATATATTTTTTTTATTTGTTTTATATTACTTCTAAAGTTACATCATATATCTTATCATCATATATACACAAGACATCAAAAACAATTTTATACACAGTTTGCTCTTTTGCATTGCTAAAGCGGACTGTACATATATACCTAGAAGCATCCATTCACACTATAGAATATTAAAATAAAATAAATTGTGCTTGGTGCTTTAAACAATTAATAATCAGTGTTTTCATTCGACTATTACCTAAAATACTTTTTATTTATAAATTTTAAATGTTATAAATGCTTTCATATACATATATTATATTATTATGTTTAATGTTTGATTAAAAACGGTATATATACTGATAAAAATGTACCTATATACAGAGACTATACACTATGAGTGTTGTATTAAAAGTTACAATTTGAATATATACTTATCTCGTGTTTAATATGCTAGATTGATAGGAACAAATATAAGATATAATATCTATTGACGAAAGTATTGCAAATATAAAGTAAGTACTGCAAATAATGATACATAGCTACACGAAAATATTAGCACCATTGGATTGAAAGTAGGGTACGAAAAATTAATGAGTTCTCACGGTCAGCAACGAAACACTGATTTAGTTACTAGGTAAATTAAACTGAATTCCATAAAACACTTAACGAGTGAAATGGATCTTTAGATCGTATTATATGCCGATAGCTATTATTTGCAGCATTAAATTATTCATTATTTTTTCCACTAAGTGGCAGTACTAAGAAAAATTTAAACTTTGAAAATGAATGTTTATATTCATAACTTTAGAAGTAACAAATCATCCCCTATATAACCAACCCCAATATCAAGGTTTTTTTGGGGTTTAAAACTGGAGACGAAAGTAAGAGGACACTCGTCTGTCTCCCACAGCCAGTATCGGAATACTTGGCGTCGACATCTCGAGCAACGTCCAGTTCCATGGTCAATTGGAAGGTAAGGCAAAAC